TGCGTGAAAATCGCTAAATGTACGATGCAGAGGTATTCTGTGTGTTTCTTTCCAAACCCTCATAAACTTACCTGGCTGGAGGCTCTCGTGTCAAGAAGGCGGGACCCCCATGGGGAGGCCCTCACATTGCACTTTCGTAGGGCCGACCCATGTGGCTACTTCGAGTTGAAGTCAGCCAACAGCTCAATTTTTGCGTGTGGGGCTGCGTTCGCGCGGCCCTGATGAGATGAGATGCCAAGGTTTGGTAGTGGTGAACGTTATGATAACGAACGACAATGGCTAAGTATAACTAACATTTCTGGTTGACTCGTTAGTTTTCAAAATTGCACTCTACCTCTTACAGAGTAAAGACTGTGAAATTATAACGTATGAAATACAACTGCGCTTATTTTTGTTCAGCAGACACCATAAACATTTTCACGTCCATCACACTCTATGTTTCTTATAAACCGTACTTTTTTTTCTTTTCAATCTTTATACGCAATTATTTAGTTCTGCCAATTTCGTTCAATTTTATGCACATGATATTATCTCTGTTTTTTTCTGTAGTGGTGTCAAATAGGATGATATCACTTGCAAAACGAAGATTTCATAGAAATTCTTCATCAAAACGAATGCATGTTCTGTTTCAATTTAACGTCTTCGTTATTCATCGCAATGTGGCAGTGAAACAAACAGTTTTGTTGAATTTGTTTCGTCTTGTCAAATTCTTTTTCGAAGAGGTATATTATGGATCCGTTCTTGAAAAGCTGCATTTTCGTTGCTCAATATTGATAACGGTCGTCAAGATTTCTCATATAGGACGGTATTGATTCTTGGTGGACAGGCGCTGACAGCATAGCTTTAGTTTTAACACTCATAAATCCTTTTTCATAGTCGATTAAGCTTAGAGCAAACGGCAGTTTTTGACGAACCTCCATAACTTTTGCTACCATTTGGATATGGTACATAGAGTAGAATACATATTTCAAAATTCTAGTTGTTCTACAGATTGATCCTCATCCAATGTTATTATTATTATAGGCAACAGAATAATCTACGTGTAAATCTTCTACTGTGCATTCAACAAACGAATCAATCGTCAATTCTGAATATCCATTCTGTACTCATTTTAGTGTAAAAGCATTGTACGAGAGGTTTTCCACTGGTCTAGTATATTTCAATTTTGGAACGGCACTTCATATGGTACACGAATATTACAGCATTCAGCTGGTGATCATTAAAGTAAAAGAATTCAATATTTTTTTTGTTCAGCTAAGAATTTTCCGTCAGGTTTGACGCTTTCTAAAGCAACTCAAAGTTCAGACAGAACAGAATTTGAGACTCTTTTATTTCGATGAGTATTTGAGAATCTGCCAATAACATTATTCGATAGAAAATATTAGTGTAAAAATGAATTTTATATCATGGCGGATGGTACGAGATATTCTGTTTTCGTTCAGCAAAACTAACAGCAGAGAAACACGGTGATCACACGATTCCAATAACACTTGCTCAGACTAGTTCGTTCTTAAGATATTTTGTTTGGACCTTTTAAAATCTATCTGCAACAGTGTTTCAATCTACGTTTATTTATTATGTATAGTGTTTGCTGAACAAAAATAAACGCAGTTCTATTTCATACGTTATAATTTCGCAATCTTTACACTCACAAGAGGTAGAGTACAATTTTGAAAACTAACGAGTCAACCAGAACTGTTAGTTCTACTTAGCCATTGTCGTTCGTCATCGCGACACTCACATCCACTAAACTTCGTCTCCCATATCAGGGCCGCGCGAACGCAGCCCCACACGCAAAAATTTAGCTGTTGGCTTACTTCAACTCGAAGTAGCCACATGGGTCAGCCCTACGAAAGTGCAATGTGAGGGCCTCACCATGGGGGTCCCGCCTTCTTGATCACGAGAGCCCCCCAGCCAGGTAAGTTTATGGCGGTTTGGAGAGAAACACACAGAATACCTCTGCATCGTACATTTAGCGATTTTCACGCATTAGCATGATTATCATCGAACGAGACGCAGACATGACAGAAACGCTACGTTCGCACTCAACGTCGCACAAGAACATCTCATAAGAATTATAATATGACTAGTGGAAAGTCGAAATCACATCAATTGTTTATGTGTTTATTTCCTCAATGAAAATATGGATTCGGAATAGCGAGACGTCGAGTGCTAAATTTAACTACTTGGTGTGTAAAAATGTTTCCCCATTACCATATCAATAGATGTATAATCACATATTAATTGTATTATA